CCAGATGGTATAATTACAAGCAGTTTTTAGGTTTTGTTTGATTTTTACATTTTCCATATCTCTCAAATGTCTGTGAATCACTCCAAAGACTTAAAAGAATTATTTTCATGTTGTCATCTTCATACTTCTTTTTAATTACTTTGCAATAACCTATGGTGTTGATGATTTTCACTCTCATTGTAAAGGATCAATTCAGAAAGAGACAGAATTAAATGAAGTCCTATACACACACACACATGTGCAGAGTAATTACAGTCTAGGTGACTTTCTATACATAGGCCTTCATACATACTGCTTATTTTTAAAAATCATACTTCAGATCACACTTGCACACTGTTCAACAACCTGTACTCTTTTTTTTTTTTGCTGTTTGGTTGCTTGGTTTTTGCAGTGCTGGGGATCAAATCCAGTGCCAAAGCATGCTATGCAAGCACTTTACCACTGAACTACATCCCCAACTGCAACTGTTTGTTTCTGTATTTGACTACAGTCTTAATGATCTTTCAATATATTACACAGTACATATATACTTTCTCCTGGCATAATATGATAAATTGTGCCTATATCATAAGTTACTTAACCATACCCTATTTATGAACCACTCCTTTAATAAAAGGAGTCTTGAGTGTTTCCAGTTATCTTAACTAACGACAACTTTATTTACTGTGCAAATAGTTTCTGCTGCTGCATTATTCCTTTAGAACGAACAGAGGGATCACTGGCTTAAGGGTTTTATACTTGGTATGAATAGTCAAACTGCTTTCCAAAACAGAACATCAACTCAGTCACACCATCACTAATCATCTGTACTTCTTTATTATAGCTACGCCAGGAGTTTGTTTTGTGAGTGAAATAATCTATTTTAGCTGATTATAGAGACTGAGAGCGCCTGACTAGCAAGTCCGAGGCCGTGAGTTCTTAAATTAAGAGTTGGAAATTTTTCTTATTCCTCTTATCCCTTAACCCTATCCCTCCTTGGATGTTTTACTATAAAAAGGGTAATAAATTTTACAGAATCCCCTTTTGCAGTTATGACCTTTGTCCTGTTAGCTTACTGGCAACTTACTGCGTACAATGAATTTCTCGAGTAACGCAACACTTCACTGCTGAGACAAACCTTAATTTTGGAGGACTCTTCTTTCCATGACGCGAGTGTGTCCAGTTTGAGTCCTGTCACCAGACTTTGGATGAGATTCAAACAGCCCTCCAGCCCGGAATCTCGGGCTTCCCTCCAATGTCCTTCCCGTTTCCAAACGTGCCCTTCGCGGCCGTGTCCCCGGGACCCGCCCGGTCCTGGCGCGGTGCGCGTCCACCCTCTCCCGGGCCTGGCTCCCTCCCGGCGGCGGCGGGGCGGCAGGATCCCCGATGGGCGACGCCTCGCCCCCGCGGGTGGCCCTTCCTCTCCGCCGCGCCCGCGGCCGCTCACCGTGAGCAGCGCAGCCGGCCGGACAGAGAGCAGGCAACAACCTGGTGCCCCGGCCTTGCTCCTGCCGGCGCGAGAACAATGACCGGACAGGAAGTGCCTCGGGATGGGCTTCCGGCCCCCCACGTCGCCAGGCCGGCCGCTCTAGGAATCTCGGAGGTGCCTTCCTCTCGACGGGCTTCCAGGGATGCCCGCACAGCGGATGGAGGTCCGACTGCTTGTGGGAGTGGAGGCGCCCCAAGCCCGTCCACACGGGAGCCTGAAGCTACAAAGCACTCATCTGTAGAGAGCCCTGGTGATTTCCCCCCAAAGGCTTTATTTTGAAAATATCAAATGGTATAGAAAAGTTGAAAGAATGATTCAAGGAATTCCTGTATCCCCTATCTGAACTCATCAGTATTTTGCTGTTTGCCTTATTTCTCTGTGCACGCTTAAAGACATTTTTGAAAGTTGTAAAAACTTCATTCCAAATATTCAACATGCATCCATTAAGAATAAAAATATTCTTCAAATTAACACCATCATCACAGGTGTGAAAATGAACAATATGCCCTAATACCATCTAATATCCAGTCATATTCAAATTTATCCAACTATCCTAAAATGTATTTCAATTTTTTTTCCAAATCAGTTCTACAAACACTGCAGTTATAGCTCTATTATTGATGCGATAACCTTCTTTTTAGCAATTTTGATAAGTGTGTAGAAGTATCTGGAGATTTTAATTTGCATTTCCCTAATGCAAATAGTTATTGGTACAGTGGTGTACACACTTGTCATCTTGCCAAATGTGTAACTTATGTGACCCCAACCACCATAATCAAGACACACTGTTTCATCATCGAAAAGTCCTCCTTGGTGCTATCCCTTAAATAGTAAAGCCGAATACCATCACCTTCTCCCTCCCACATCTCTAACCTCCAGCAACAATTAGTCATTCATCTCTATAATTTTGCCATTTTGAGAATGTTATATAGTTGAAACTATAGAGTATATAGCATTTTGAGATGGATATTTTACTCAAAAATTCTTAAAATTCATTCCCGAGTTATTGTGGCAAGCAGTTCATTCCATCTCAATTCCAAGTATTCTGTTGGTATATGATACACCATAGTTTGAACCACTGCATGAATACTTGGGTTGCCTAAAGGTTTTTGACTATTAAGAATAAAGCAACGAACCTACATTGCAAGTTTTTGTATGAATGTAAGTCTTCATTTCTCTGTGACAAATGCTCAGAAGTGCAATTACTGAGGCATATGGTAAGTGCATGTTTGGTTTTATAAGAAACAACCACACTTTTTTCCAAAGCGGCTGAACCAGTTTACATTGCCAGCAATGTAAGAGATCCCGTTTTTCCCTAACCTTGCCAGAATTGGTGTAATAACTTTTTCTTTATTTTAGCAATTTTGATAACTGTGTAGAAGTAGCTAATGATTTTAATTTGCATTTTCCTAATGACTAATGATGTTGAACATTTTTTCCTTCTACTTATCTGCCATTTATACTTCAGTGAAAAGTCTTGTTAGTTTTTCACACATTGCTAATTGGATTTTTTTACTGTTAAGTTTTGGAAGGTCTTTATGTAGTCTCTAACTTCATGTTAGACAAATATTTCCTGCCAGTCTGTAATGTTTTTTCATCTTCTTAAAAGGATCTGAGGCAGAACATACTATTTTAATTTGATGAGGTATGCTTTATCATTTTTTCCCTTTTATGAAGCATGTGGGAGTTCTTCACTTAGAAGTCCTGAAAATTGTGTGGCTTTATCGCTATGGATTTCCAGTTGTTTGCAGTGCATTTGCTAAAAAGGTTATCACTCCTCTATTCGATTGTTTTTGTACCTCTGTCAAAATCATGTGTGCATTTGTGTGAGTCTATTTCTTGCTCTTAGCATCTTGTGGATCTTTGGTATCTTTTAAAAACAATCAATCCCACTCACTTTTTATACTTTTCATTGTGGAAAATTTCATACATACATAAAAGCAAAGAACAGAAGAGTAAACACCAGCTTCAATAATGATTATTCCCCTGTCACCATGACTTTTTTTCAGTGCTGAGGTTTGAACACAGGGCATGCACCTTGAGCCTCTTTATCAGCATTTTTTCTGTGATGGATTTTTTTCAAGATAAGGTCTAGCAAACTGTTTGCCCGGGCTGGCTTCAAGCCTTGATCCTCATCAGTTAGGATTATAGGCGTGAGCCACCAGCACCCAGCTCAATCATGGCTTTTTGAAGAATCCAGGGCAATTTTCTTATCCAATATCCTACATTCTGGATTTGTGTTTCTTCTGTCTTTTGATGTTGTTCCTCTGCCTCTTATATTTCCTGTAAACTGGCGATTAGGTCTAAGAAACTTGGCTGAATTCAGGATAAGTATATGACTTCATCACATAAGGAGGCCTGTTATTTGAGTGTCTTAGCAATGTACATTTTGTTACTTGGTTATGAGGTAAATGCCAGCTTTCTCCACTGCCAAAGGATATAAATACCTCTAATTATTGTATAACCTGGGTGATTCTACAGCAGAAATATGAAGCATTTTCATATACATTTCCCTGTAACTTTGTGAGGTAGATATTTCTCCTCCTGCTTGACAAATGAGGAAATCAAGACTCTAAGAAGTGAAAAGATTTGTCCAAAGCAAGTGGCAGAACCTGATTCAGGTCTTAAAACTATAAATCTGAGCTCCTGCCACTTTTACTCTTGGGAATCTTTAATCTAATGAGGAACCTGCCTTCAAGGAGCTTTAGGTAGAATTAATAACATTTATTATAATCGACATATCACTTTGATACCACTAGTATCAGAAAACACAATCCTGATATACAGGTATTTATAGTCCAGCTGAAAAACTAGAGTTTTGGGAATTACACAGAATTATCAACTCAAGCAATATAGGCTGAATGAATCCTACAAATGTACAATAGGGCACAGGTTGAATGAGTGACAGGTTCACAGGGAATAATAGATAGTGACTGCCCAGAGGATTCTACATTAGCTTAATCAAAACGTGAAGGACTTGACTCTGAAGAACCATCACGTGCCAGGAAAGAATATTTTGTGAGTAACAGCCATCACCTGACAGCAACAATTAAATGCTAATTAGAACTGTGAATGACTGTGGCAGGGGTCATTAGCTCAAGATGATGGGATTATGGATTTCTCCCTATGACCAAGGAAAACAACATGTCTTTCCATTTGATGCTCTACATGTATTGTTGTACATTCAAAGACTTAAAAAGAAACTGCTTTCCTTGGCATCAATGTTAATGGGTGGCCATACTGTTTTTCTGAAAAACAAAGCATTCTATATATTGACACCATTAGATGTTATAAAACTGTATTCTTAAAAAGTGTTCTTAAAGTACGAAATTCCAAAGTTAGCTAACCACCGTACTTCTGCGTATAAAAATAAGCGTCATTGAGGTACACGGAATCATCCTCATTTAATATTGACCTAATGAACAAATTTACATCATGCCATCTTCTAGACTTTGACCACACCTCTTTTATCTGATTTTATTGACAAATGAATAATTTCATGAAGTACTTTCAAAAAGATCTTTTCACTTAATCCTCACAACAACCTTGTGAGGTAGGCATTACATTAACATTTGACTGACAGAGAAACCAAGACTTACAGTGACCTTAATAACATCACATAATAAGAGAAAGAGTAAAAAAACGAACTCATGTCTTCTGATTCAAAATCCAGTGCTCTTCTTAGGGTGTTCTCAAATAGCAGACTCTTACCCACCCAATCTCATGCCTCACAAGTCAGATCTCTCTACAGATTTTCTGTAGCACTGATACGGTCTTCAAAATGTACAACACATAGAAATAATTTCAGAAACAATGTCTGCTCTTTAATACAAAGATATTTCCCTATCATTTACAACTACACTTTTACATTTGGAAAGACATAAACTCAGTTTCTTTGGAGTCTTCAATTGCTCCAAGGCCTCTTTCCACAGTCATAATAAATGGTCTGGAATGGATTATACTTTAACTACAATTTGGATTCTGTTTTTTCTATCTTGGCAGTCTAGATAACTTTCTTGCATTTATCTATAAGAGAGTTGCTCATGATTTTTTTCCTTTAGGAACCATATATTATTTCCCTGTTACTTAAGTAGAATTGTATGCATTTTATAAATAATACTAGATTTTTCTTTACTTTTTGTGGTGCTGAGGATCAAACCCAGGGCAAGTGATCTATCACTGAGCCATATCCCCATCCCTGCACTAGACTTTCTGAATCTCTATCTTGGACTTACTGGTATTTTGTAGCCAGGAGAATTCTTCCACAGTATGGATTTTTTGTTGAAGATGAAGGTTTGGAGTCTGAGAAAACTGTTGTTGAGACTCAGCACATTCACAGGGTTTTTCTTCTGTATGAACTTTCTGATGTACAGTAAGGTTTTTCCTTTGCCTAAAAACTTTACTACAATCATTACACCCATAGGGTTTTTCCCCTGTGTGTATTCTCTGGTGGCCAACTAAATTCCTCTTAGAAGTAAAGGATTTCCTGCACTTTTCACACTCATAAGGTTTTTCCCCAGTATGCATTCTCTGATGTACAACAAGGTTTTTATTCTGACTAAAGTCTTTTCCACACTCACCACATTTATAAGGTTTCTCTCCAGTGTGGATTCTTTGATGTACCATAAGATTTCTACTAGAGGTAAGGACTTTTTGACATATATGACATTCGTAGGTTTTTTCACCACTGTGAATTCGCTGATGTTCAATAAGGTTTCTGTTGTAGGTAAAACCTTTCCCACACTCACTGCACGCATAGGGCTTCTCACCAGTGTGGATTCTCTGGTGGGCTATCAGGTTTGAGCGGTAACTGAAGACTTTCCCACAGTCATTGCACTTGTAAGATTTTTCCCTTGTGTGAATCCTCTGATGTCCAATGAGGCTTTTCTTCAGAATGAAGCATTTACCGCACTCATTACACTCATAGGGTTTTTCACCACTGTGGATCCTCTTATGTTCAATGAGATTTCTGTTGGAACTAAAAGCTCTCCCACACTCACTACATTCAAAGGGCTTTTCTCCAGTGTGGATTCTCCGATGTACAAGCAAGCTTGAATTGTAACTGAAGGCCTTCCCACAATCCTCACATTTGTAGGCTTTCTCCTGGGTGTGGAGTTTCTGATGGACCATGAAACTTTTGCTCATGATAAAGGTTTTCCCACACTCTGGACATTCATATGGTTTCTCTCCATTGTGCAGCCTCTCATGGTCAGTAAGATTTCTGTTAGACCCAAAGACCTTGCCACAGTCTTTACACTCATAGAGATTCTCTCCAGTGTGGAACCTTTGATGTAAAATGAGGCTCTTCTTCAGAATAAAAACCTTTCCACACTCATTACACTCATAGGGCTTCTCTCCATTGTGGAGTCTCTGATGGTCAAAAAGGTAAGCACTCTGAGTGAAGGCTTTCCCACATTCAGTGCACTTGTAGGGTTTCTCTCTGCTGTGCATCCTCTTGTGGTCAATGAGGGTTGACTTAGAGCTAAAAATCTTCCCACACTTTTTACAACCAAAGGTTTTCTTTTCTGTATGGACTCGTTGGTGCAAGAGGAGGCTTTTACTGCGAATGAAAACTTTTCCACATTCTTTACACTTGTAAGGGTTCTCTGCACTGTGGAGTCGCTGATGGTCCACAAGATAGGTGGTCTGAGCAAAGGTTTTTCCACATTCATCACATTTATAGGGTTTTTCCCCAGAGTGGATTCTCTGGTGCAGAATGAGGCTTTTCTTTAGAATGAAAGCTTTCTGGCACTTGTTACATTTATATGGTTCTTCCCCTTTGTGGAGCCTCTGATGGTCAATGAGGTAAGCATTTTGGGAGAAAACCTTCCCACATTCATTACATTTATAAGGTCTCTCCCCTGAATGGCGTCTTAGATGTATAATAAGGCCAGAGTGCCTATAGAAGCCCTTTCCACACTCCTTACATTTATAAGGTTTCTCCCCAGTGTGGATCCTCTGATGGTTTAGAAGGTAAGCACTTTGAGAGAACGCTTTCCCACATTCATTACATTTATAAGGTTTCTCCCCGGAATGGTTCCGTAGGTGCATGAGAAGGCTTGAGCGCTGAATAAAGCCTTTTCCACACTCCTTACACTTATGAGGTTTCTCACCAGTGTGGATTCTCCGATGGTTTATAAGATGGGAAATTTTATTAAAATGTTTATAACATATATCACACTTATAAAGCTTCTTTCCATCAGGATCTATTAAACTTTCAGAAATAGCTGGACTTAAAGTCAGACTTTCTCCAAATTCCTTCCATTTCTGGCCTCGTTTTTCAGGTGGAGTCCTCTTCTTCTTATCTCTTTCACAAGGGGAACCTTTCTTCACCTTATCTACCCTTTGCCCTGTTTCACCTCCCCACTGACTTGCCAAAACTTGCCATTCACACTGATCCTCAAAATCATGGACTGGAGGAAAACTGCCTTGAATTCTTTTTGATGTTCCTTTCTGAGAGTCTGCTCTTAGAGAAATAGTTGGTTTTGATGTCACCGCCTCATTCTCAGTCATGGTCTCCCATTCTAGTAAAAGGAATTAAAAATGCAAATGTTATCATGTCCCTATGATTGAGAATAAGACTTTTTTGTTTTGTTTTGTTTTTGAGATAGGGTCTTGCTATGTAGCCCAGTGTGGCCCCAAACTTGCTATGTAGCCCAGGCTGGCCTGGAACTCAGATCCTGCCATACTTAGCCTTCCAAGTGCTAGGATTATAAGATGAAACCCAAAGCCTTTGCCATGCTAGGCAAGCATTCTATCACTGAGGTATAGCCCCAGTCCCTTAGAAGGACATACTTTTACATGCATACAGAAAAGGAGACTCTTCATTCAATAAAGGCACAAAGCAGCATGGTACACTGACAGGATGTTGTAAATGGTAACATAACTCACTCTCAGACACTTCTAAGCTCTCTGTCTTCAGGAGTCGAATGAAAAAATACAAATTATGCTGAGAAAATAGATGAAAGAAAGAGAATTTGGCATCTTATGGAGACGGTTCGGACCAGAGGTCCATGAAGCTGGACAGAACAAGAACCATATGGCTCAGAAAGGATTATCTCCTTTTTTTCTTCATGTTGAGAAGATGGGAACTGTAGGAGCTAAGTGTGGTAGCCCAAATGTGTAATCCCAGCATTCAAGAGATTGAAGCAGGACTATCATGAGCTCCAGGTTAGCCTGGGTTACACAGAAACACTTGATCTCAAAAAAAGAGGGTAACTTTAAAGTAGAGGAAATATACCTAGACTAAGAAAGGCAATTTTTAATTTTTAAGAGGTTGCTTTTTTAAGTAGTTGAAAACAACCCACAGAACAAAAAAACATTCAGCAGGTGTGGTGCCTGTAATCCCAGCACTCAGAAGGCAGAGGCAGGAGAATCATGAGTTTCAGGCCAGCCTGAGTTCCATAACAAGGCCCAATCTCAAAAAGGGAAAGGGGAAGGGGAAAAAAAAAATCCAACAAAAAGCATCTAAGAGATGCTTCAACAACTGCCTGCCTGTTTTTATGGTGTTAACTCTTCTCAGAATTTCTTACACCCCTAGCCTCTAGCCATGGTAAACTGTGCAGGTGCAGCTGCCCAACACATCAATTTTTTTTTCTTGGCTATCACAGTCCTTGCCCAAGCTGACTTTGAACTGAAAGATCATACACACTCGCTTGTCTAGAGTCCCAACAGAGTAAAAGTTGGTTCAAACTTCTCTTTCCTTAAAACACTAGAAAGAATCCTTCTTTCCTTCCTTTCTACTTCCCCCCTTTCTTCTTTCCTTCCTTCCTCTCTCTCTCCCCCCACTCCCTCTCTTTCATCCTAAGGATTGAACGCAGGACCTCATACATGCCAAGCATGTGCTATATCACTGAGCTATACCACCCCATCCATTGTCTTATTACTGTTTTAAGCTCAACTCTTAGACTTCTCTGGAATTGATTTTGCTATACAGCATGTGGTATGGATCCAAGGTGAGTGCTTTTCATCAAATTAATCCATAATTGATCCATAAAGAATATTTTAAAGTTCTTAGAAAAGATGGATTATTGAGTAAATAGCACTAGAACTACTGAAAGCCACTTGGGTTTAAAAAAAACAACAACAACACAGTATTCCTATGTCATTCTGTGTATCAAGATAAACTGATAAATATCAAGATGAATTAAAGCTTAAGTGTCAAATGAAACAATGAAAGTATCCTTAGAAAATACAAATTAATTTTTAAAAATAATTTTATGGGGAAAAAAAGGCCACAAAGACCATAAGGAGAAAACAGCTAAGGTTTCCTATATAAATGGTTTTGGCCACCATCTTGTGCTTTTTTGGTACATAGTTGGTAGAAAGCAGGTTGGTAATATGTAGCAAAGTATAAAATCCACAGAATGTTTGACACACAATCACCACTGCTGAGTTACTAAAGACTACATTCTCAGAAATGTGAAAACAGACAGTGTAAATTGCTACTAAAATAATAAGGCTGTTAAGCACAAAATTAATATACAAAAAATCAGGTATCTTCATATATGTAAATAAGTAAATTAGAAAACACCAGAGAAGACTAATTCCAAAGAATAAATATTACCAAAAAATATGGAAGATCTAGATGAATGTGACTTTAAAACATGCCTAAAACAGGGAAAAGGCAGTAAATAAAATTGGAAGATGGTGTAATGGTCCTCCCTTCTTCTTTTCTCCCTCCCTCACCTTCTCTTCCCTCCCCTTTCCTCCTCTCCTTCCTTCCTTCCACATGCTACATAAGGACTGTACCAACTGAGCTATCTCCCCAGCCCCTTATCATGTTCTTGAATAGGAACATTCAGAAAAATAAAACTCAATGTAAGGCATAATCACTGACAATACTATGCAACCATTTAAAATGATATAGCAGAATATAAAATTAACATACAACAAAAACCAGTAGCTTTTCTATATATCAACAATGAACAGGATGAGAAGACAATTCCATTCACAATAGCTTCAAAACAAAAAAGACTAAATATAAATCTAAATAAGGAAGCAAAAGGCCTCTAAAATGAAAACTACAAAACCTTGAAGAAAGAAACTAGAAGACACTGGAAGATGGAAAGACTTCCCATGTTCATGGACAGGCAGAATTAATATCATGAAAATGGCTGTACTACTGAAAGCCATCTATAGATTAATACAATGCCTATCAATTCCATTGTCATTCTTGGCAGTAATAGAAAAATCAATCTTAAAATTCACACTGAAAAGACTGAGTAGCAAAAGTAATCCTGAGCAAAAAGAGCAACACTTGAGGTATCACAATACCAAACTTCAAATTATACTACAGAGACGTGTAATAAAAATAGCATGGAACTGACACAAAACCAGACACAAAGACCAATGGAATAGAATAGAAATCTAGAAATAAAACCACACAACTACAGCATATGAACTTGACAAAGGAGACAAAGACACAGACTGGAGGAAAGACAGACTTTTCAACAAATGATGCTGGGAAAACTGGCTCTCTACATGCTGAAGACTGAAACTAGACCCCTATCTCACAGTCTGTATAAAAATCAACACCAAATGGACCAAAGATCTCAATGTAAGACCTAAAACTTTGATACTATTACAGGAAAAATAGGGGAAACTTTGGAAGACATAGGCCCAGGTAATTGTTTTCTGAATAGGACACCAATTGTCCAGGGCAAGAACTGACAAATAGGACTACATCAAATTAAAAAGTTTCTGCACACCAAAAGAAGCAATCAAGAGACAATACACAGAATGGGAGAAAATCTTCACCAGCTATTCAACAGATAAAGAATTAATATCTAGAATATATAAAGAGCTCAAAAAACTAAACAGCAAAAGAACAAATAATCCAATTAATGAATGGCAAACAAATTGAATAGACAGTTCTCTGAAAAAATGAAGATGGCTAGTAAATACACAAAGAAATGTTCACTATCCTTAGGCATAAAGGAAACACAAATCAAAACTACACTAAGATTCTCAGTCAGATTGGCAATCACTAAGAAAACAATGCTGGTGAAGTAGGGTGAAATGAACTCTTACTCATTGTTGGTGGGAATGTAAGCTGGTACAGGTACTAAGCAAATCAGTTTGGAGGCTCCTCAAAAAACTATGCAACATGAATAAGAAAAGGGGGGAAGAGAGAAGAAGGAATGGGAGTATAACAGAAGAGGTGAACTTGTTCAAAGTATACTGCATACACGTATGTAACCGCCACAGTGAAAGTCCCTTGCATTACTAATGCTCACTAATTTAAAATATAATAAAGCATTGAAAATGACCCTGCATATGCATTTCAGCCAAAATTCAATCATGCGGCTGAGCCCTCAGTCTTCAATGTCAATTTTTCCAAATGGAGGCCTGCTCTTCCCTTCAAGTTTCAGGACAAACGCTGCCTCTTTTATGACCCTCCCTAATCCCTAGGAATGGATCTGATTGTTCTGTCTTCTCAATTTCTATCACAGCAGGCTTATGTCATTCTTGCACCAATTGTTCTACTATTTTGTATTCCATAATCATTTCCCAAAACTTGTTAAGCTATGTAAGGGCAGAATCATACTATTTTCACAGTGGCAACACATGATAAACTATTTTTGAAGCAAAAATAGTGAACTTTGCTTTTCTGAGTCAGGATTTCACTTTGTTGCCCAGGCTGGCATCAAGCCATCCTCCTGGATCAGCCTCCCAAGTACCCAGGACTTACAGGTGTGCACAAAATTGCACCCAGTTAAAAAATTATTAAATATTCTTACTTTATTACTAATCAAAAAGAAATCCACTTTAGCCAGAGCTGGTGGCTCATGCCCGTAATCCTAGTTACTTGGGAGTCTGAGATCAGGAGAATTAATATTCAATGCCAGCCCAGGCAAAGAGTTCACAAGATCCCACCTCCAAAACAACCAACGCAAAATGGACTGAGGTGTGACTCAAGTGGTAGAGTGCCTTCCTGGCAAGCAAAACATCCTGAATTCAAACCCAGTCCCATTAAAAAAAAAAAAGTCTCCTTTAGAATAAACATGTATTACAACTTCAAGCTGGGTGCACTAGCTCACATCTGTGGTCCCAGCTACTCAGGAGGCAGAGATTGGAAGGTTCAGTCTGACCAAAAGTTTGAGGCCAGCCTGGGCAAAA